ATCCTGGTGGCACCCGGGGCGACCGCCCCCACCGCCCCCCCCCTTAGTACGCCACTGGTTCTTGTTACCTTCTATTTTCTCTTTTTACTGCCTCTCTTGGCAAACTCATTAATTTTTTTGGATACTGCTTCAACCTGTATGCCGATGACACCCAAATATATCTCTACTCCCCTGATCTCTCCCCCGCTGTCCTTCAACGTGTCACCAGTTGCCTTTATTCAATCTCTGACTGGATGTCCTCCCGCTTTCTGAAACTCAATCTCTCTAAAGCTGAGCTCCTTATTTTTACTCTCCATAATACTGATTCTCCTCTTTCGCTTTTCCCTGCAAGTTGATGGTACCTGCATCAGTCCATCCTTGCAAGCTCGCTGTCTTTGATCCTGGCCTCACATTTGTCCTTCATGTCTAGTTTGTTTCTAAAACATGTGGATTTCACCTTAAAAACATTGTTTGCATTCACCCCTTTCTCACTTTTTTTTTAAAATTCTTTTCTGTGCATAAGGGTGGTACAGACAGGCTTGAGGTACCCCAATGGCAATCCTCAGTCTTAGCGTTTTGCAATAAAGTTGGAGTAGTAGATTAGGCGTGCACAATATTATAATATGAACACGAGATAACAGGATAGGAAGGTTTCTAGTCAGGTCATTCTAGTTTACAATCATGATACAGGCTGGGTGGAAACAGATAATGAGAAGTTATATGGAAAGGAGATGAGCTAGGTTAGGTAGTATAAGTAAACATGCTGAGCTACAAACTTGCAAAATACTGCTTGCTATAGGTACATAACGATTGTTACTTGGGGTTTAGCATGAATAACGAAACCTGTGGCACTTTAAGAGGGACAGGAGGCAAATAGCAGAGGGCTCCACGGAGCACACAGGTCAGCAACATCTACATGGTTAACATATAAGACCTGTTAAAATCAAAATAAGCATTTCATTCAGCTAAACGATTTGGTTCGATAGCTAGGCAATTTAGTTTACTATGTAACAGTTATTAGAGGGTGACCGCTGTTTCCATGTAAACTAGCAATCATTTGTACTGCACAAGGTTAAGATGGAGATTGTTAATAGCAAAGCACCATATTCCCATCATGGCTTATGTGCTAAATAACATTTCTATGCTAAACAACATTTATCTTTATGTTCCGCTGGTTGCTTCAGCAGGAATGCCAGAGCAGGCAATGAGTAAGGTAATAGTAGTGCCAATCAGCGTGGTATCCCTGCAGAGGCTTTCAGCCCACACCGCATAGTGGCTTTGGAGGAGAGTTTGTCACGTTGGGGCACATACCCGATAAGAGTACGGTAAGATACTGTCCGGGTGTGGCTTCCCTCCAGCCCTGGATCCTTGAAGGAGCCAACATCACTGTGCCATGGACTTGGGTGCTCTGTGAGTGCGAGTACTTCCTGGGAGTGGGATTGCGTGAGGACCTGATGGTGTGGCGGAGGGCTCTGCTTATGTGGATGGTGTTTCCTGGGCAAGCCCTTGGTGGCCCTCAATTTTGGCGAGCTTTCTTTGGGGGTGACAGGAGCGTGCTCGTTTTGGTTGCCCGGAGGAGGCCTTCCCCACACTTTATTTGGATTCTGCTTTGTCTGTATTGCGGATGAGGAGGTGGGGGTCGCAATGTGTGCCCTCAGTTTGGCCCAAAATTTGGCAAAAATATCCTCCAGCGAGGATGTTGAGCCTCTTAGGTAGCCAGGTTTCTTGGTAGGCGTATGCAGTGTACATCGAGGTGCAAGCGTGAGTGTTTCCACCATCTTGGAGCTGGCAGGGTAACTGTGTTGTCTAGCGTTTCCCGCCATGCTTCAGAGATCACCTTGTTGCAGGTCAGTGGGCACCGGGATTACGCCCACCGGTCCGAGGGGGGGGGTGTAAGAGCGTGAGTGAGTGCCTTCAGCTTGTGGAGCAGGGAGAGTGGCCGTCTCCCCTAGCCCCCTCCTAGTGGGCCTCAGCTCGTCGTTTCGGGCTCGGAGTAGTCCGGGTGAGGTGTCTTTTGAGTCAACGGGTTGTCCCCCAGTTGCTAAGAGCACAAGCAGCTGTTTACAAGCTTGTTGCCTGGGTGTATTCTGGTTTTAGAACCCAAAGTGCCGGAGCTCGCTTTCCATGCGTCTGGTCGGCTCGGCGGTCAAGCACCTCCCCCTCCGCGCATTCACCCCTTTCTCATGCAAGATGCTGCAGTGCTTTGGTAATTTCTCACATGGATTACTGTAATTCTTTCCTAGTTGGTCTCACCAAAAGCCGAACTGCCCCGCTGCAATCAGAAATGAATGCTACCGCCAGGCTTATCTTACTCTCCTGTCGTTCCTCCCATACCTCGCCCCTTAAACTGGCTTCTTGTATCCTATAGGTGTCAATTCAAAATACTAACCCTTACCTATAAAGCTCTAACCAACTCTAGCCCCTTTTACATTTCTTCATTGATTCATAGATATCCCCCCCTCTCGGTCTCTCCTCTTTGCCGGTGACCTTCTTCAATCCGCTGCTCGCACTTGCAGAACTTCTCGTGGTCAGCTCTTTTCTATGGAATAGCCTGCCTACCCCCATCAGACTCTTTCCTAGTCTTCAATCCTTTACGAATTCCCTCAAAACACATCTGTTCAGAAATATAAAAAGGGGTAGGTTAGCGCTAATAATACAGTGGATAGGCAGCAACCTTACAGAGGGTAGCCCTCTCACCCTCTCTGTTTAAAACGTGCAACAAGGAGAAAGAAAGGCTGCGCTGAGATAAGAAGTACTAAAAATATAAAAATACAGTAAAAGATAAAAATATATTTAATATAAAAAGTCCAATGGAATGTCGGAGGTTAGATAGACTTGGTCACTGTTTTTGCTGGTAGAGTGTCTTCTATGTTTCTAATAGTCAAAATCGTCTCGGGATATGGAAGACACAAGGAGAAAGGACCAATCGTGCAAAGTGGATAGGATGAGTAATAAATAAATTAAAATATAAATGAAACACTCACATTTAAATGAGCTATGGCCAGCTCAGGTGTAACAGGCATACGGCGGAATGATCCCCGCTTATAGGATATGTGGGTGCTTGTCCTCCAGACAATAATGATGTCCAACTCTCAAGAGAAGGGGAGAATAAAAACAGCAAATAATGCTCTCTGATGATGTGACGTAATATTGTATAAAATAAAATAAAATATACGCACAAATGGAGTGCAGACGTCACTGCACTCTAATAGTAGCGTTGGTGGTATGATCCCCACCTCAGGATAAGTGTTAAAAGATTAATAAAATGCCAGGAAAGTAAAATAGTGTGTAAAAAGGTAATGGCGCAGAAATCTAGCCAAAAATCATTTATTATATAAATTACACAATATTTAAAACCATTAACGCGTTTCACCACAAGGGTTTTATCAAAATGGAATAGTATTAGAGCCTGGCAAATAAAGGGTATATATAGGTACATGGGAACTTTAAAAAGGGCGCCAAAATAACATCGTTAGCCGATCAGAACAATGCATTGAACATTTAAAATTAAAATTTACAATTCAGTATCAAATAAAAAATAAAAGTATATATATAATAAATATCAAATACATCATTTAAATGTGAGTGTTTCATTTATATTTTAATTTATTTATTATTCATCTTATACACTCTACACGATTGGTCCTTTCTCCTTGTGTCTTCCATATCCCGAGACAATTTGGACTATTAGAAACATAGAAGACACTCTACCAGCAAAAACAGTGACCAAGTCTATCTAACCTCCGACATTCCATTGGACTTTTTATATTAAATATCTTTTACTGTATTTTTATATTTTTAGTACTTCTTATCTCGGCGCAGCCTTTCTTTCTCCTTGTTGCATCTGTTCAGAAATGCCTATGGCCTCCCAGAGTAAAGGTCTCTTGCTCTCTCCTGAAGAGTTACACGCCAATCTCACCTTCAGTTCTGCTACTTTTCCACCATATTGTTTGCTGTGTCACCTGATGCCCTTTCTATTGTGTCTTCATCCTCTAATTCTCTAGACTATGGGCTCTACCTATTGCTCCTGTAACATTTTGTAATTGTCTCATTATTATAAAATTTCATAATATATCACTTTCATAATATTGTAAAGGCTGCGGAATATGTTGTTGCTATATAAACACCCCCTTGTCAGTTTTCATAAAAGTGTCAATTTCTAAGAGAAATCCGCTCCTGTTTGTGTGTACAGTACCAAATATGCAACTATATATCCAGGGCCGGACTGGCCCACCGGGATACCGGGAAATTTCCCGGTGGGCCGTCGGCTCCTGGGGCCGGGCAGACACCTGGGTCTGCTGTCAGCCGCTGGGGAGGTCTTCTGTCGGCCGCTGGGGAGGTCTTCTGGCGGCCGCTGGGGGGAGCTGCGCCAGCTCTGCTCCCCAGCGCGCAGCTGAATGAGACCGGCGCCGGAATATGACGTCTCATTCAGCAGCGCGCGAGGGCGGGAGAGCACAGACAGCGCAACTCCCCCCAGCGGCCGCCAGGACAAGTCCCCCAGCGGCCGCCAGAAGGCCTCCCCAGCGGCCAACAGCAGCCCTCCCCCTGGTGTCAGGTACTAGTAATGTGTCTGTCTATGTTATAGTGTCTGTCTGTCTGTCTGTATGGTGTGTGTGTCTGTCTGTCCGTGTCATGGTGTCTGTGTGTGTCTGTCTGTCTGTGTCATTGTGTGTGTGTGTGTGTGTGTCTCTGTCTGTGTCATAGTGTCTGTCTGTATGGTGTGTGTCTGCCTGTCCGTCATGGGGTGTGTATGTGTCTGTCTGTCCGTCATGGGGTGTGTGTGTGCCTGTCTGTCCGTCATGGGGTGTGTGTGTGTCTGTCTGTCCGTCATGGGGTGTGTGTGTCTATCCGTCATGGGGTGTGTGTGTCTGTCTGTCTGTCATGGGGTGTGTGTGTGTGTCTGTCTGTCCGTCATGGTGTGTGTCTGTGTGTGTGTCTGTCATGGGGTGTGTATCTGTCATGGTATATGTGTGTTTCTGTGTCTGTCATGGTGTAAATGAGTGTTTAAAAATAGTGTTTTGGCTCACTTTTTTTTTTCCCCACGCAGCGTGCTGTCTCCCCTCGACTGGCCCTGCCTCTATAGCTGAGATCATCAAGCTTGATGATCTCGGCCAATCCAATGCTTTGCCATAGGATTGGCTGCAAAACGCCACTCCAATCAGCATCTCCTCATAGAGATGCATTGAATCAATGTATCTCTATGGGGAACGTTCAGCACCTACAGAGTGTGGAGGCCCTGAATGTAGGTGCACTAACACAGGAAACACCTCTAGTGACCGTCTGAGTGACTGTCACTAGCGGTGTCACTTTGAAGCAATGTAAACACTGCCTTTTGTCTGAAAAGTCAGTGTTTACGTTGAAAAGCCTGTAGGGACATGCTATAGACACCAGTACCACCACATTAAGCTGTGTGTGTGCGTCTGCTAGTGAGTGAGCTTGCTTGCATGCGTGTGCCTGCTAGTGAGTGAGCTTGCTTGCATGCGTGTGCCTGCTAGTGAGTGAGCTTGTGTTTTTATGTCAATGAGCTGATGTATATCAGTAAGATTGTTTGTCTATGAGGCTGTGTATCAATGAGCTTGTGTGTGTCATTGAGATGTCAGTGAGATTGTCTGTGTCTGTATGTGAATATGCTTACTGTATAATTAAACGTTTTACCCTGAAAGGACCAATATTTTATATTAGAAAAAGCAATATATATATATATATATATATATATATATATATCACTCAATCATCTGTCCTGGCAAGACATAGCCTTACATTTTACATGCGACAATATATGGCGCAGTGACTTATGGGGCTGGCATAGATTTTTTTTCCAGGGCTGCTTTGTATCCCCAGTCCGGCCCTGTATATATCAGTTATTTAATGTCCTACGTAAAACTGACAGTCACTAATTTAATACATGTGACCTTAGGGGCATATATAAATAAATGAGGTTATAGTAGTCGACCTTTCATACCATGGCTGATTATAATATAGAGTGATATCTCATGTGAGTGGAGATGTAAATGTGAAAATGCCTCGCCACAGTCCCATCCCTCCTTGTGTCTGGGTGCCACAACGTCTCTCCCAGCCAGCCTGTGCATATTGTAAGTTTATATGAGGCTGGAAGGCTAGTTGGCTGAACAGAACATCCTAACAGGCACACTTCCATGAGTCCACAGTGTCTATCACATATATATAAATAACCTCACCAGCTTCAGTCAATCATTTTGTCTCCCATTGTGATGCCATTTTCAATACCCTGTGGTTTGTGGGGACTCTTGAGATCTTAAATTGAACTCTGGGCTGTGAAGTTGGCCATTGGTTCATTCCTAATCGTGAGAAGCTCACATATAATCATCTCTGGAGAGTGATTTAACTATATTAATTTTAAAAAAAACTCTAACTAGCTGTCACTTTTGAGTTGATGGAACTTCTGAAAAAGATAATGAAAGTAATTATGTTATATATTCGTTGTACTCTGAACTAGAAACCAAACTGGTGAGCGTGAGAAAGAACAATAAATAGTTTTAAGGAGAGTTTTTGTGAGAGAGAGAGAGAGAGAGAGAGAGAGAGAGAGAGAGAGAGAGAAGGAATAACACACACACTGAGAAGTTACATTCTCCATAATGGATTACCACCAGCTCAGAGATGATATCCGTAACTACAGCCTTGATGACTGTGCTCGGGGTAACCAGGGCTATAACCGGGTACTCCTGCAGCTATTTGGGTATACAGGCCATGGAAAGTCCTCCTTCATCAACTCCTGTAAGTTTGTCCTGACTGGGGAGTATAGAACTATCGCAGAGGCTGGAGAGAGGGCGAGTGGTGCTACTACCTTCATGAGAAGACCCTATGAACTTACAGACACCATCACCATCGTGGATAACAGAGGGTTTGGAACCATGAACAGCTATGAAAAGTTACAAATCTACTGTCAGCTGGGTAAGGAAACGTTGTGACTGCTAGTATTTGTATAGGTCATTATCTAACAAGTTACAATAGTAGAGAACCATGGGAATGAGTGAAGGCACTGACTACCTATACATTGTCACTTATTGTTTTATTTGGGTTCTTGATAAATACCCTATAAAGTCAAAATGTTTAGTTTCAATTATTGTATCAACATGATGCATAAAATGCAATTCTGGGAAAAAAAAACTTATGAGTCTGCCAAAAAGCAGTTTTTAAAGTATCACTATAGTGTCAGGAAAACAAACTCATTTTCATGACACTATATAACCCTTAGGACTCCCCGCCCCACTCTCAGGGCACCTTCAGCTACTTACTTTAATCCAGCGCCGGGCTCCCTCTGCGCTGGTGACCTCTCCTCCCTCATCCGACGTCAGCTCCCGAGTAGAGCCGAATGCATATGAGTGTCCAGAGTCACGTGCGCATTCAAACCGCCCATAGGAAAGCATTTCTCAATGCTTTCCTATGGACATTCTGCGTGCTCAATGTGATTTTCGCATTGAGCATTGGGAAGCCCCTCTAGCGGCTGTCAGGAAGACAGCCACTAGAGGCTGAATTAACCCTCAATGTAAACATAGCAGTTTCTCTGTATCTGCTATGTAAACATCTGAAGAGTTAAAACCTGGGGGACCTGGCACCCAGACCACTTCAAACTATTTAAATTTAATTGGGAGAAAACACGTTTTTGTTTCCTGTTAAAAATGTTTCTCACTTTGCACAAAGCAAGAAATGAATGTTATATTTATAATATTATATCTGCCCATTGAAACAATAACTGCTGTCCCCACACACTGTTATTACAATGAGTTAGGTAGTATTTCTTTATTGGGAGTTGGCAAGGGGCTTGGAGAGGGGATGGGGTGCAAGCTCTGGTCAGTCACCACATGGTTAACTATTTGCCCACTGTCTGCTGTTCCTGCCAGGGGCAAATAGTGCTTACAATTATTATTTTCAAGCAAAAAGCAAGTGAAAGATAATTTGTGAGTATGCATCCTACTAAATACCTTCAGTCCACATTTTGTTTTAAATTGGTGATTTGCAAATAATAATTAATAAATAAATAAACCCTCACGTGTTCAAGAGCTATTAGTCAGGCTCTTTTACCACCACATCTGATTTGGGAGATGCCACCCCTGATAATCAGATGGGAGAAGCACTCAAATGGAGGACAAAAATATATATTTATTAAATCAAATAAATAAATGAATAATAATTTTTTTTAAAGTATTTATTTATTAATATAGTGTCCCAAGCATACTACACCATACACTGTATCTAACTGCTTATATCCTCGAGGTCCAAACAACTGCAAATAGAGATTATTTCTGCATTTTCATTTTATTGGAGGCGCTCGAAAACAAATGAATGTGTGAACATTTGTTGTATTTTTGCACATTGATTACACTCATTATTCTATTGATACAAATCCAATGTTTATTCACAAGCACTTTATTCCAAGGGGAATTTTTGATACACCTGAAAGATGTTATTTAACGGAAGCACTGCACAATTTTTAAGTTAATTTGTTAAACGGTAACACTTGAGTGAAAGACGCTTATTAATATTTGCATCTTATTTATTTAATTTATTGAGAAAAGCAAGAATTAAAGGGTCTATTTATGCCTTTCAGTTTTTTTGTTAGAGATACCTATATATGTTATTTCCCACTTTAATTATTCCAGGTAACTTCCTCCCTCTTAATAGGAACGTGGAGTGGATAAGGGATTATAACAGTTTGATGGAAAACCTAGAGAATTCAGATTTTGACCCCAACTATACAGATTTAATTGTTCCGCTTTTCATTTACAGGTAAGAGAGAACGTTCTATTCCAAGAAGTGCTGTGTAAATGGAGAATTAAATACACGTTACAGAGTTTCTATTAGTTTATTCGTTCTATGGACATGTCAGTCATTTATTGGCTTTTGAAAATAGACAATTAAACAAATAACTCAAATAAAAATAAAATAGAACAAAAATGAGATACTACAGAATATAGAAAATAAAATACAATAAAAAACAAGGCATTTGTTTGAGCTGATTTGCAGTCTATTCCGTCCTCAGTGGGCGTATGTATGGATAGAAGAGAGAGAGGAAAACTAACAGTGTAGCATTTAATATACTTTATTAGTGCTGAGATGCCCACTCACATTTTTGGAGCTTACGTACAAGCTCTAGTAATATCAGCATGTAGCGATATTGTCCCCACTATTGGATATACAGTACCTTGCAAAAGTATCCCCCCCCACCCCCTTAGCATTTTTCGTGTTTTGCTGCCTCACAACCTGGTATTAACATGGATCATTGAGGATTTGCATAATTTAATTTACAGAACTTGCCCAAAACTTTGCAGATTTTTTTAAAAATTATTTTTATTATTGTGAAGCAAACGACAAATAGGACAAAATAACAGAAAAGGTCAATGTGCATAACTATTCATCCCCCCCCCCCCAAGTCAATACTTTGAAGAGCCACCTTTTGCGGCAACCACAGCTCCAAGTCACTTTGGACAAGTCTCTATGAGCTTGCATCATTTTACCACTGTGATTTTTGCCCATTCCTCCTGGCAAAACTGCTCCAGCTCCTTCAAGTTGGATGGTTTGTGCTTGTGAACAGCAATCTTTAAGTCTGACCACAGATTTTCTATTGGATTGAGGTCTGGGCTTTGATAGGCCATTCCAACACATTTACATGTTTCCCCTTAAACCACTCAAGTGTTGCTTTAGCAGTGTGTTTGGGGTCATTGTCCTGCTGGAAGGTGAACCTCTGTCCTAGCCTCATATCACGCACAGAGTGGTACAGGTTTTGCTCAAGAATATCACTGTATTTAGCACCATCCACCATCCACCTTTCCCTCAACTCTGACCAGTTTTCCAGTCCCGGTTGCTGAAAAACATTCCCACAGCATGATGCTGCCACCACCATGTTTTACTGTGGGGATGGTGTTCTTTGGGTGATGTGATGTGTTTTGTTTGCGCCAGACATAGCGTTTTCTTTGATGGCCGAAAAGTTAAATTTTGGTCTCATCAGACCAAAGCACCTTCCTACATACATTTTGGGAGTCTCCCACATCTTTTCGCAAACTCAAAATGTGCCATTTTGTTTTTTGCTGAAAGTAATGGCTTTTTTCTGGCCACTCTGCCATAAAGCCCAACTCTATGGAGCGTACAACTTATTGACGTCCTATGTACAGATACTCCAGTCTCTGCTGTGGAACTCTGCAGCTCCTCCAGGGTTACCTTAGGTCTCTGTGCTGCCTCTCTGATTAATGCCCTCCTGGCCGGGTCCGTGAGTTTTGGTGGGCGGCCGTCTCTTGGAAGGTTTGCTGTTGTGCCATGTTCTTTCCATTTGGTTATGATAGATTTGATGGTGCTCCTGGGGATCATCAAAGATTTGGATATTTTTTTATAACCTAACCCTGACTTGTACTTCTCAACAACATTGTCCCTTACTTGTTTGGAGAGTTCCTTGGTCTTCATGGCAGTGTTTGGTTAGTGGTGCCTCTTGCTTAGGTGTTGCAGCCTCTGGGCCTTTCAAAAAAGGTGTGTATATGTAATGACAGATCATGTGACACTTAGATTGCACACAGGTGGACATCATTTCACGAATTATGTGACTTCTGAAGGTAATTGGTTGCACCAGAGCTTTTTATGGGCTTCATAACAAAGGGGGTGAATACATACACACATGCCAATTTTTTGTTTTCTATTTGTAAAAAATTGTTTTATGTATATATTTTTCTCATTTCACTTCACCAACCTAGACTATTGTGTTTTGATCCATCACATAAAATTCAGATTAATAAAACATTGAACTTAAGGCTGTAATGTAACACAATTGGTAAAAAGTCAAGGGGGTGAATACTTTTGCAAGGCACTGTAAATATTGGAGTGGTTGGTTATCCACCCTTCCTATTTTGACTGTGGGGAGAAAAATGAACTATAGAGGAATATCACTTCTATGCTTTGCACCTATGGGCAGGAAATGAGAGGTCATTTGTAGTGGGTTGATCTTCTCACCTTCTACCTCCCATATCCTGAGCTGTTTATGATGGGAGATCATTAAAAATGGTGCATGCCTTCCAAAGGGTCCTCTCTATGTTTCTCATTCATGTGCTGTAGATGAGGAGTTAAATATCAGAGATAAAGCACAGCCACACTGCCCACTGCCTAGTTGTCCTCACCACCAGATCTAGAGATTGTCTAAATAGGGAGTACTGCCATAGTACTTCATTCCTGAGAGCCAAGTGTTGGGTTAAATATTGCAGCAAGTGGACTATCTACCCGCAAAGTTAAAAAATCATTAAATATTGACAATGCAACTTAAAATAACAGAAAGAAAAAAACGTTTTTGTGACGCTCATGTCCAAGTGCTGAAGATTACATTATATATAATATACTTTCATTATGTGATGACAATAAAGATGTGAGTAAAAAACAATTATTATGGTTTTAGGAAACTTAGCTCAAGGGTTAGGTGACATTTAGGGTGCCCTTAGTCCAACCATCTGACTTATGGGGAACCACACGACAGCTGGCTCTGATCTCTTAAAGACCACCCCAGAGGGGACACTGGATGGAACAGGACTCCTCCTTGCAGGCAGCACCTTGAGTAATCAGTCACTTCCAGCAGGTACAAAAAAATAAGTCCTGGGCTCACTCCCATCACTCCTGGGCGGCAGCAGCGACCACAGTACACATCAGCCCCAATATATAGTAAAAAACCCTCTGCAAAAAAAAAAAAGTTACCTACACTCTCTCCTTAATCCCTATGTATATTTATCCCAATGTCAAGGTAGTCTCTTTCTATACCCTTCACCTTGCTTCCTTGAGCTTCTGGCAAAGATATCTCCAATGAGACAGAGAGGGGTATTATCAATGGTTAATAAGTATATAAGGATGTATATAAAAAAATACTCATTGGAGATATCTTTGCCAGAAGCTCAAGGAAGCAAGGTGAAGGGTCAGTGTAGGACACGCTTAGGGGGGTCTGCCCTGTTGTTGGCAGGTGGGCATTCCCTCCAACGGCCATTGGAGTAACTAAATGACCTCCATTTGTCCAAGCACACTTCCTGCAGGTACTATCACAGTTATGTGATACTTTCCTCAATCAGAGAGTTAAATTGACAATGTAGGCACCCAGACCACTTCATCTGATTGAAGTGGTATGGGTGTAGTGTGCCAGCCCCCCTTAGTCCTGCAATGCAGATCATTGCAGTTTTTGAGAAACTGCAATGGTTATATTACAGGACTAAGTGGCTCTAGTGGCTGAGCTGTCAATCAGACAGCCACAAGAGACCCTTCCTGGTGGTTAAGGGACTTTTGGTCACCTTACTGACGCTGGATATCTTCACACTCTGCATGAGGACATCCAGCATCAGTACAATCCCCTTAGGAAAGCACTGAAGCTATGCTTTTCTATGGTGAGGGCCTAATGCATTTGCAGTGATTGCTGTGTATGCGTATTAGCCCCCCGGTTGGATGATGTTGGAGGAGGTGGTGCACCGACCCAGTTCCGAGAGACATCGGCGTAGTAATCAGGTAAGTGTTAAAAGGTTTTTTTTTGTTTTTTTTTCATGCTGAGGGGGGCACAAGGTAAGGCGGTGCAGAACTATAGTGTAAGGAACACAGATTTGTATTCCTTACACTATAGAATCCCTTTAAGATTATTGCTTAAAGGGGTGACACAGAGTTACTTAATGAACTAATTTAGCTTTTTATGGTCAGACTTGAGAGGAATGGAAGGTTAAGATAATATCATTTATTATCTGAGGACAAATAAAGGGTTTCGGTGATAGTACAGAGAGCACTATATGGGCAGGTCTCGACAGACAGAAGGGTTAGGCTGGTTCTCCCAAATGGAACATGAGCACTCAAAGAACAGGATGCTAACTGTATATTATATACGTTACTTTATGTACTGTGTACACACTATGTAACACTATGCTTAATCTTAGCTATAAAAAGGAATGTATTTTATGAAATAATTAATGGTATATTTCTCTCATTGTCAGTATGCAGAAGGACATCTTTCGGCAGGAGGAGTTAGAAATGAAAACCTTCCTTTTAGCGTGCACACAGATGACAGGTGATTATCATGTGATGTAATAGAATAGTACGGAGTATCTCACACAACCAGGAACTCAACAATAACTCCATACTCACCAATGCCTCTCATCATGTCAGTCAAAAGAAAAGTGAATTTGTTTATTTGCTTCTTCTTTCTTAGGTATTGTTCCGATCATTGTTCTGACCAACAAAGCCAGGGGGGATTTCAGAGAGCTTGAAATGAAGTTTAAGGATTTGGGAGCTGAGGTGGTGTACGATGTGGAGAATTACACCACAGAAGAACATCAAAGAATCGACACAACAGATACAGATATATTAAACATTATGTACAATGCGTTAGAGGATGTCAAATTCCACATGGAGCAGATAAGGGACCCCAAACAAGAACGGATAGACCATAAGATCTTCCTACTGAATATGGCACATGAATGTGTGCAACAGGACAAGATAGAAGCAAAAAGACAGGAAGATATCAGGAGACAGGAAGAAGAGAGAAGGAGAAAGGAAGATAGAAGGAAACAAGAGGAAGAGGGCAGAAGACAGGAAGAAGAGGGCAGAAGACAGGAAGAGATCAGGAGACAAGAGGAAGAAAGGAAGAGACAAGAGGACATGAGCAGTAAACGACCAGGAAAGAACAGGAAATGTTTGATACTATAACTAAGTTTTTGTTTATAAAAGATACGTCATATTTCCATTAATAATACTATTGTTGTTTCCTTTTAAGCCCCAATGTAACTCAAAGGGCTTTGCATTCTTTTGTCGATTTAACTATAAAGTTGTAGTGTGGCTAAGGATCACACTCCAGTATATACATAATATATTTTGCATAATTTGGTATATTTGTAACTATCCTGTTGGTTACATGATGATAAAAATATGGAGTATATAAGAAGACATGAATCTATATTAATCAGATGGACCCTAAAAGAAACCCAACTTTACCAGTAGAACACTTGAAAACTCCTGAAGGACAAATGTTTCCCATGAACAGGAGATTCCACCAGTAGACTGGAGTGGGTAAGGTAGGTATGCTGGCACCAACGACAGTGAACACAAACAGAGGGATAGACAGAGATATTGAAACACCTGCAGTAATGTCTTGAAACTGTTTTATCAGACTTTTTTCGACCAATAGTAGAAGGAACACCCATTCAAATGGGGTTTCGCACCCTTTCTCATGATTGAGCAGTGAAACACCTCTCTGCCCCAAGCACCGATTGGTGCAAACGGGTTTTGCGCCCTTTCTTCTGATTGGTCAGCGGAAGATCTCTCTGCCCCGAGTGCAGATTGGTGCACATGGGTTTTGCGCCCTCTCTTCTGATCGGGCAGCAGAAGAACTCTCTGCTGCAAGCACCGATTGGTGCAAACTGGTTTTGCACCCTCTCTTCTGATTGGGTGGTGAAACCAGGGCTGATGTTCCTGCACTTATTCCACACCAGGAACGCTGATCCCGTTAGTAGTCCTGCAGACTCTGATTGAGCCCCCTTCCTTGAGCCAGCAGGGAGATCAAAAGATCTCCCTGCCAGCTGAAACAAACTCCCTGGTGGTTCAGTATGCTGCTGGGGCTGCCGCACTCCCTCGCAGTTCAGGCGCACTGTGAGTGTCAGAGCACAGGCGCCAGGTGCACAGCATGTGCTCTGACATCATCACAGTGCGCCAGAACCATGAGGGAGTGCGGCAGCCCCAGCAGCACACTGGACCACCAGGGAGTGAGCCAACAGCACACTGGACCACCATGAAATAAATTTTTGCACAGAAGGCAAGCATGAGGGGGAAAGCAAAATAAATTAAATGTATTTTGTCGGTGTGTTTTCTCCTCACTCTGTCACACTAACCCTCTTACTCCCTAACCCTGTCTCTCCAACCCCCTAACCCCAGGGCCAGTGCAAGGATTTTTGTCGCCCTAGGCAAACAAAAAATTTGCCGCCCCCCATATGTTCTGCCCACCATGTGACATCACAATGCCCCACCCATATGATCTGTCAAGTGTCTTTCATCTGAAAAGGCAGTGTGTTTACATTAAAAAGCCTGCAGGCACAGGCTATAGACACCAGAACCACTACATTAAGCTGTAATGGTTCTGGTGAGTATAGTGGCCCTTTAATGTGAGGTAAATCAGAGATTAGAACTGGAAAATGACCTCTGATGGGAGGTAATATGTGGTACAATAACGTGTCTTGGTGATCAGCAGCTCAACACTTAATGTGAACTACCCTTTTATCCACACTACATAAAACAGCAACAAAAATGTGGTATAAAATACCCCTTAATGGAGCACTAAATAATTCTATCTGGTCTGTGTAGGGGTGCTTTAAACTTACCCTGCAAATACAGTGTGATCATTTACTCAAAGGTATATAATATGACAAAATAATAATGCAGATGGTACAAAACAGTTCTGGTCTGATATTAAACAAAACGCTAGAACCACTCACATGTTCTGGAGCTTATATAATATTGGCTCTGTAGGATGAACCTTTTTGGTTTTAGGGCAGCAACACACTACTCTCACGGTATTGTTTCCTCCAGAGGGGATATAAGAAGAAAAACAACCAGTGTGCAGTATCTTTCAGTTGTGAACTTCAATCTCTGGTTTTACGTAGCTCTTGGAATGTCTCTTAATGATTATCTGTGACTTTATTGGCTCTTTATGAATTACAGTTTATAAAAAAAAAAAAAACACCTGCGAGTCACAGAGTCAAGATTATATAACACAAGGTTTTTTTTAAGAGCATGAAGAAGGATTTGCAGTAACAGCACACAAATAGACTTCTTAGACATTCAAAGAGCTACACCTACATGGGTCACCCATGAGTTCGCTCACAGGGAGTGGAGTGTATGTGTGTAGGGGATGTGTTATATGTTATTGTAGAGGATGTAATATGTGTGTGTGTGTTCTCATTAAATGTAGTGTATAGGGATACCAATTTGTGTAAGGGATGTAGTGTGTGTATAGGGGATGCAGTGTGTGTTTGTGTGTAAGAAATGCAGTGCGTGTTTCTGGGTGTGTGTGTGTAAGGGATGCAAGGTGTGTTTCTGTGTGTAATTGAATGCAGTGTGTGCCTGTAAGGGGTGCATTGAGTGTGTAAGAGATGTGTTTTGTTTCTGTATGTGTAAGAGAAGCAGTGTGTGTGTAAGGGATGCATTGTGTATTTCGGGTGTGTCTGTGTGTGAGTAGGGATGCATTGTATGTTTGTGTATGTGTAAGGATGCATTGTGTATGTGTGTAGTGTAAAAGAGAGGATTTGTGTGGTAGGATATGGGCTGAGAGGGGAGCAGCTCTTTATTTTATTTTATAGCACTCTCCCCTACTTTCAATTAGTGATCTCCCCTCCCCTCCTGTCCCTTAGTGCTCTCACTTGGCCCCCTGTCCCTTAGTGATATTCCTTTCCCTCCAGTCCATTAGTGCTCTCTCCACCCGTCCTGTCCAAAGTGATCTCCTCTACCCCTCTGTCCCTTAGTGCTCTCACCTCCCTTAGAGCTGTCTCCTCTGTCCTCTCACTCCCCCCTTAGTGGTCCTCTCACTCCCCCCTCTCTCTCCAACCCTCTAAGTGGTCCTCGCCAGTACCCTCTCCCCTAACCCCTTAGTTGTCCTCCCTCTCCCCCACCCCTTAGTGGTCCTCCCTCTCCCCACCCTTAGTGGTCCTCCCTCTCTCCCCCACCCCTTAGTGGTCCTCCCACTCCCCCACATGATCCCTCCCCTCTCCCCCTCTCTCCCCTAACCCCTTAGTGGTTCTCTCCCAGTTCCCTGCCAGTGGTCCTCCCTTTCCCCAACCCCTTAGTGGTCCTCTCCAGTCCCCCCCCCAAGCCCTTAGTGGCCCTCTCCAGTCCCCCCCTCTTGGTGGTACTCTCACTCCTCCTCCTCCCCACCCCCTGCTTAGTGGTCCTCCCTAAGTGTGACTGGCTGCATTATAAAAGCAAGAAAAGGTGGGCATGGATGGTGAGCTGATTCGGTGATGCAATGGGCCACTTGACTGAGTGTGGCCCACAGGACTAAGGCGGCCAGCCCTCCCCTGCTAACCTCCCTAACCTTGGCATGCTAAATGTCACGGATTACCTTAGTTGGGTGTCTGGTAGGCAGAGATTTTTGCTCACCCTTGCCGATTTACACAGCCCAAGGTTAGAAATCACCAGGACTGTGAATCTGTGCACAGGGGCTTTCTGTGTGAATCTGTGCACAGGGGCTTTCTGTGTGAATCTGTGCACAGGGGCTTTCTGTGTGAATCTGTGCACAGGGGCTGTGCATGAAAGGTATTTCCAATATGCAGTACAGACAATGGCAAATCCAGAAGAGTCGTCAGACACGGTTCCAAAGGTCAGGGCAGGCAGCGAACAGGCAATAACGGATAAACAAAGAAGAAAGGGTCACAAGCCAAGTCAGTCTTCAGAAACAGGATACAACAAACTGACACTGCCCTCAGGGAGAGGCCATGTTATATACCTGGGATAATGATCCATCTGCCTCAGGTGGACTTAGACAAGTGCAGCCACAGGTAAAGTCCAGCCCCCTAGTGCTGGAAACAAGGCAAGGTTTAACATCCAGCTGAAACATGAGCTGAAGCGACAACAGGAACAGGACACATGAGGGCCACTGATCAAATCCCCTGTTTGGGGTGGGGGTGGATCTTGGGTGAGTTCACACATTTCTTTCCCCAGGACTTGACCCCTGGACGAAACCCCTCTCCTCCCTGAGCACCTGATTGGTTGTTGTTTGGTTTGGGCGCGAAGTTTAAGTTAACCGGCCTAAACCAAGCAACCCTGTGGAACTAATTTTGGGGATGTACATCCGATAGCCTTGCTATTTTCAGAGATCGTAGTTGGGACCCGGGGCTATCCAGTGATATATGTTTTATATGTGTGACCCCTTCCCTTCCTGGGGTGTGCAGCCCCTAAGTTCCCCCTTCCTATATGTAATATGTTTCAATGTATGTAACTGTTGTCCTGTTAGTATTTCCCGGGGCGGGCGATGGCTATCTGTAAACCATCCCACTCCCACCTGGGACTAAGGGAAGTGCACTGAAAAGAGTGGAGACCCTGTACCAATAAAGGATTACCAGAGTTATACACCAGAACTGTGTGTCGTCCAGTTACTGGGGGGAGAAAAGGGTTAATCCCTGCGCCAGCTTGTTGCAGCTCGTGAAGCATGCAGCGGGAAAAGTCCTTGTAAGGTCTGGCGTTCCCAGGACTGAGTGCCATCCAATCCCCGGGGAGCAACTAGAGCTATGTCCCCTATCCAGCCACAGCTATGAAGAGGACCCTTGGTGGAGGTAGCCAGCAGGGGTACAGGGAGCTCTATCACAGTATCCCTATGTTTTTACACTAATCTCACCTTATTTATATGAAATGTAACATTACAGTTTCATGCTTACCTTTATCTATACGAATCTTTTCCCTAAATATTTGCTATATATTTATCTGAAATGTAAAATGATATTTTCACACTTACTTCTAATTATTTATATGAAGGGTCCTTGTCTTAAGCCATGCTCACATAAATTGAAATATTGAAATATATATCTGTGGCTTGGGATTGAGATCTGACCTTCTACATCGTCATCCGTTCTTCAAACCAGAAACACCCAAGGAGCACTAGAGTGATGACTCTCGTAGATCCCCACCCACACCAGGTAGATATTGGTGAAATGAGGAGAAAAACGTATAGAAGAAATCACTGGTTTATTATTTCACACACTGAATGAAAACTGTAGTGGAATAGGAGATTGATTAAATTCTTCAATGAGAGAGCATAGATCTTCTGAAAAACTATTCCAAATCTGGAAGATATCGTCCACAAAACAAATTCAGCTCACAACACTATCTCCATATTTTAATAGGATGTATTGTTAGAGCCAAAATATAAAGGCATGTTTGTATGAGCGTGCCACAGCCACCCCTTCACATTTCCTGCTAGATGTAGAGAAAATTATGTTTCAAACCTAAAATCATTGCAAGTCAGAGCTACAGTTGCAAGAAAAAGTATGTGAACCCTTTGGAATGATATGGATTTCTGCACAAATTGGTGATAAAATGTGATCTGATCATCATCTAAGTCACAACAATAGACAATCACAGTCTGCTTAAACTAATACACACAGAATGAAATGTTGCCATGTTTTTATTGAACACACCATGTAAACATTCACAGTGCACGTGGAAAAAGTATGTGAACCATTGGATTTAATAACTGGTTGAACCTCCTTTGGCAGCAATACCTTCAACCAAACGTTTCCTGTAATTGCAGATCAGACGTGCACAACGGTCAGGAGTAATTCTTGACCATTCCTCTTTACAGAACTGTTTCAGTTCAGCAATATTCTTGGGATGTCTGGTGTGAATCGCTTTCTTGAGGTCATGCCACAGCATCTCAATCTGGTTGAGGTCAGGACTCTGACTGGGCCACTTCAGAAGGTGTATTTTCTTCTGTTTAAACCATTCTGCTGTTGATTTACATCTATGCTTTGGGTCATTGTCCTGTTGCAACACCCATCTTCTGTTGAGCTTCAGCTGGTAGACAGATGGCCTTAAGTTCTCCTGCAAAATGTCTTGGGAATTTGGGAATTCATTTTTCCTTCGATGATAGCAATCCGTCCAGGCCCTGACGCAGCAAAGTAGCCCCAAACCATGATGCCCCCACCACCATACTTCACAGTTGGGATGAGGTTTTGATGTTGGTGTGCTGTGCCTCTTTTTGCCACATATAGTGTTGTGTGTTTCTTCCAAACAACTCAACTTTGGTTTCATCTGTCCACAGAATATTTTGCCAGTACTGCTGTGGAACATCCAGGTGCTCTTGTGCAAACTGTAAACGTGTAGAAATGTTTTGTTTGGACAGCAGTGGCTTCCTCTGTGGTATCCTCCCATGAAATCCATTCTTGTTTAGTGTTTTACGTATTGTAGATTCGCTAACAGGGATGTTAGCATTTGCCAGTGACTTTTGTAAGTCTTTAGCTGACACTCTAGGATTCTTCTTCACCTCAATGAGCTGTGCTCTTGCAGTCATCTTTACAGGACGGCCACTCCTAGGGAGAGTAGCAGCAGTTCTGAACTTTCTCCATTTATAGAAAATTTGTCTTACCGTGGACTGATGAACAGCAAGGCTTTTGGAGATACTTTTATAACCCTTTCCAGCTTCATGCAAGTCAACAATTCTTAATCGTAGGTCTTCTTGAGAGCTATTTTTGTGCGAGGCATCATTCACATCAGGCAATGCTTCTTGTGAAAAGCAAACCCAGAACTGGTGTGTGTTTTTTATAGGGCAGGGCAGCTGTAACCAACACCTCTAATCTCATCTCATTGATTGGACTTCAGTTGGCTGACATCTCACTCCAATTAGCTCTTGGAGATGTCATTAGTCTAGGGGTTCACATACTTTTTCCACCTGCACTATGAATGTTTACATGGTGTGTTCAATAAAAACATGGCGACATTTCATTCTTTGTGTGTTATTAGTTTAAGCAGACTGTGATTGTCTATTGTTGTGACTTAGATGATGATCAGATCACATTTTATGACCAATTTGTGCAGAAATCATATCATTCCAAAGGGTTCACATACTTTTTATTGCAACTGTATCTGCAAAAATTCCAACAAAAACTCAATATGTATCAAAATTAGATTTTATGTCAAAGAATGTGTTACCAAACCATGGGATATTATGGAACACAAACCATGGGATATTATGGTACACAAACCATGGGATATTATGGTACACAAACCATGGGATATTATGGTACACAAACCATGGGTTATTATGGTACACACACTGTGCACATCAAGTGTTTCTCTTTTTGATATTATTGATCTTGTAAAATGCCAGAACTGGTCAAACCATGTTTTGTGTATTTTGGATGTAATTCACTTATTTGAATAAATTGTATCACTAAGACCCGTTAGTGCACCCCATCTTCTTGGATATATATATATATATATATATATATATATATATATATATATATATCAGTAATTCAGCACCTGCATTTTTCAAGTTGGACTTTGGACCTTGGACACAGAAATTCTAAATAATCATGATTCCATAACCGTCCCAGAGTTCCCAGCTTGATATGCAAATGAGCACAAACAGACATCGTGTTTCATACTTTACCCTGCATTTCTGCAGATACTCTATCAATGCACACTTTAATTAAAATCAAAGCATGGTTATAATACACTTTCCGAGAGATTGCATGTCATATCAGAACCGGCACTATGCTGACAAGACCCACTATGTCAAAACTATACAGTCTGTGGCTGGTTTCTGGTAACTGATCATTTTGCATCATACCTTTGGTTATAAAAAAAGAGGTTTTTAAAACAGTGTTCATTGCTACTGGACCCTGCATAATTAAGTCTGAAACACGATACCTCTCTGCTTATTTGCATATCAAACTGGGAACTCTGGGATAGCTGTGAAAAGATGATTAATGGAGTTGCTGTATCTAAGTGAAACTTCTTATCAGGGATTGACCGATATTGATTTTTTTAGAGCCGATACCGATAATCTGTGAACTTTCAGGCCGATAGCCGATAACTTTTAGCGATATTCTGTGAATTTACAGTTTTGCAAACAAACAATTTCTACACAAATCTGCCGTTAGCTGAACATGTTTATTGTTAATGTTTAGGTTTTCTTTGTAAATCTTTCTTTTTGTTTATTAAATAAAAAAATACATCAACAAGTTAACCCATTTACCATAAATCAGAAAAACACATGTCCCCTCTCCTCTGCATGAGAACGATGAAGACCACTCCTCATTTTGCTTTTACTTCTCCCAGCAGCGTCTCCCCCCGTAATTCCACCTCAGCTCACAGTTAAACAACACAATCTCCTTATTTTTTACTTGGCACAATATATTATATTACACAAGATCCAGCGCACTCACCTATCCACTAAACAGCAACTTCAATGTTGAAAGATTTTTTATTTTTTTTTAAACACCTAATCTAGGCAAAAATAATGGAGGTTTAGTTACATTATATGATCATACAGTGCATAAGCCTGCCACAACGTCAATGTACCCCATCTTTGGCAGGTCCTATACTAACAGCCTAATGTCTGCTCTTATGAGATTAACCTACTTGGGGAAAGAAATTCCATCTGGGGCTCTCTGCAGTACAAGGCTAAATAGGGCCCTGGGATGAGGCACCTGTGACAGGGAGGGTTGCAAAACCAAGGAGTTGGCTAGACTCCCAAATATATATATAAAACAAGAGGGGGTTGGCTGCACTCACCTTAACATGCATAAATGGGGGTGCCTAGATTAGGTGTTTAAAAAAAAAAAAAAAAAAAATCTTTCAACATTGAAGTTGCTGTTTAGTGGATAGGTGAGTGCGCTGGATCTTGTGTATTGTATTATTTGGCCCCCAGCAGCACCCCCATTTATGCAATATATTATATGTATTCGCTGCTTGGTTTGACCTTTGCAAGGCATTACAGCATGTATAAGTGATATGTGTGAGTGACAGAGAAATGTGAGAGACTGAATGAGAAGTAAATCAAATAAAATACCTGACTTTTTCACCCAGACCAGAATAACACAATTGGCAACAGACTGCATGTGCTAGGCCACTGCCACCTCTTACATTATCGGCAATATCGGTAACAATAGTGTCCAATACCCATATTTGTCAAAATCAGGAATATAGGCCGATAATATCGGCAAAAACGACAATCGTCGATCCCTACTTCTTATAGTCCAACGTATGATATTTATTTATTATTTCTGGTCTCATTTAATCTTTCTGAGACACACACACTCTCCATTACACTGTATCTTTTATTAACTGAGATATCTTGATACATTTCAGTCACAAGCTTATTTTTTATTTTTTTTTATTTACTCGTAGCTGAGCTCAATCTGTCCAATTTTAAACATCACAGTGCGGAGTATTAAAGCTTCTGCTAAGCAATCAAGATTGTCACCAATCAACCTACTGCATTTTTATTTCATTTGTAAAATGTTAATGTATTGTCTAGATAATGCTCATCGTGCCTATTGTGTACAAATTGTGCACAGAACACTAAAGATTATTTGTAATTGTTGGAAGAGTTATCACTAAGTGACACTGACCAATACATAGCTCAATGTCGTTATATCAACAGATCATGAAACCTCTCATTTTATGTGACACACTAATTACAGGAATTATTGCGGATTAAATTGATTACATGCATAGCAAATTGTGTCAACAGTTGTGCATACAAGAACATCATGTTCAAATGAATAATATATTTTTGTGCTTAATTTCTCCAAAAAAATATAACATTCACAATTCTTGTAAACAAAGTAGGAGGTGGCTTTTCTTTCTCTTTTTGCCTGTCCTCTTCCTCCTTCTTTTCCAGTTCCTTGGCCAAAAAAATACGATGTGCCATGCTCATTAGGAATTTAATGTGCTTGGTGCGTTCTTCTTCTGGGTCACTTCCATGTTCCAAGCTGAATTTGACATCATCCAAGACACTTTTTATGATGTTCAATATATCTGTGTGTTTCTCTCGTGTTGCCAGCTGTCTGTCCTCAGTGTAATTCTCCACTGGAAATACTCGATTGGTTCCCAAACGTCCTTCCACATCCTTGTAATTACCACTGGTTTTATTAGTCAGGACAATGGTAGGGTTAGTACCTAAAAACACACAGAACAATTCATGAAAATGATCTTCAATGGCATGCTGAGTAATTTATCAGAATGACTAGATATACGGATTAGTATGTTCCATACTCGGTGATCATTTATGTTGCTGTATTGCATGAATAAAGAAGTAATATTCACCTGTCATGTCCTGACACGTTTTAAGGAACTCTTTTACTTCCATATCTTCCTCTTTGGCCAAGTTTGTTTTCACACTGGAGAAATATAAAATAAGAGAGAAAATAATTATAATAAAATCTGGGGAATATAAAAAGATCCACTTGAGAAAGTCCTAAGGGGGAGAAACGCGTTGTGGAAATTTTAACTAACTGTATTTTAATAAAGGTATTTTGGCCACTTTCTTTGTTGTGAGTTAGCTATTTTATCTTTTTTACCATTTTTATTATTTTACTACCTAGCATCTGAGTTTTACATCCAGAGAGATACTACTACAAAGCATCCTTGGTGGGGATTATACCACTCACGCCCTATTATTGAGCAGTGTGTCTGCCCAATTAAATGTGAGTAATCATTTGGTATTTTTATTCACTCTCCTGATTTTATCACAGTGAGCACTCTTCTTGTTTTTTATGTTACATATGGTCCCCATCTGATGAGATATCTACTTACAACTCTCCCTCACGTATCCCATAAGTGGGAATTATATCACTGTACGCTGTTTATACTAGAGCTAGTTTTTAGCTCTCAAAAACGTGAGCAGAACCATATAGACTTTTTTTTTTATTGGCTGCTACTATTTGGATTTTATTGCACTATTAGATTTTCTTTTCTCTTCCATACGAATCCCACAAACTCCTTGATCCCACTGCTCCATAGACATCTCTACCTCAGACGGCATAGTGATTGTTTTCTCATCCCAAGGCTTTACTGGACACCTTTTGGACCATTCTTTACATACATACACACACCTATTATTTTTTTATTGTTCTCTCTCTGTATTATATATCATTGTTTATTTCTATATTACTACTTGCTTATATTTAATTGTATTTATTAAAGGTTTTAAGCGCTGATCCTTCTGTACACTTTTCACTTGTAGAGATACAGCAATGTCATAAATTACAAAGGAGATATGATTGTGACAGACCGCTGGCACTCCGACTGAGTACCTCCGCCAATCGATGCTCCTAGTGCTCGCTGAGGACTCCAACCGACACCATTAGCACTGCAGACCCCACTTCCAGCGATGCAACTGCGCCGGGTCTCTGCTGTCTCCACCCACCCTGGACCCAAGGCCAGGATCCAGCTTCCAGTGGGTGAACCTCTCTTTCCCCAGAGAGCAGGAACAAGCTCTTAGCAGAACTTAGTGATCATACCCTGGGGAGTATAGTGATTATAGCAATCCCCAGAGTGTATTTCTCCAATCCCCCAAACATGAGACAAGGCTTCAAGAAAGGTACAAGATGATCTGGTTTTAATGAGCACACACCGGCTTTTATGCAAGTCCCCATGCAAGGGGACATCCCACAGGGTGGGACACAGTATAACCAATCACAGACAATACAAACAAAACACTCCCACAGTGACATCACAATCTCTCCTCTCTATCCTGGAGATAATTGGGAAGTAATCAACTTATCTCGCTGGACAGAGGCAAGACTCCATTAACCACATGGTTACAAAAAGACATAAAATTACACAATGTTACAATTACTACATAAAACAGATACATGCAACATATCCCCAGTTGGCTTAGATCTGAGTGCACATTATTATTGAATGGCGCTCAGATCACATACATACAATTCAATTGCCATGGAGCCAAAGTCTTTTCCATAGTCTTTTGTTACACAAATAGGCTCCATGGCATAGCTATCTGGAGTAGCACTACTACCACACTGAAAGTCCAGAACGCCCCGGCAGAAATACACAAATAAACTGTTCTGCAGGGGAAAATACAGCTATCAGCACAGGGGCCATAGTCGGAAGGCAGGAGGCTAGCCAGTAGTCCCCTCCAGGCGCTTGTGGCAAAGGGCACTTCATCACAATGATTAAAAAGTAAACACAGCTAACTGACACTCAGACATTGAATGTATTCAAATGTGCACAAAATAACTAATAACAAGGATTTTTTATTTTCACAATAGCAACATTTTTACTAAGGGGATAGGTTATGTGCACAAGAGGGACCTCGGTTTGTGCCAAATCTTTCAATTCATTCAATATGACATTTACAACATGCCCTCTCTGCTCCCGTCAATGAATTGGATAGTTACATTTAAATATAGTCTTGCACTTCATTGTGCTGTGTAAGTCATAACATCATCATACACAGACCCAGGGCGGTCAGAATCTCACAGCTTATTGATCCTTGATCCCTCTTACACCTAAAACTATTTGAAAGAAAACATTCTTTGATGGATGCTCCTAGTGCTTACCGAGAGTTTCAAGCACTTCTTCAGACACCATAAGTACTGCAGACCCCACGAACCGCCGCAGATTGGTTGGAGTCTCGCCGTCTCCTACCAACCCTGGACCTACGACAAGGCACCAGATTCCAGTGGGTGAACCTCTCTTCCTCCAGAGAGCAAAGCAGGAACAAGCTCTTACAAGGGAGTATGATGAGCATAACAATCCCTTGTAGCAGTTTCCCCCAATAAGAGACAGGACTCTAGATTGAGGGTGAAGTAGAACTGCAAGTTTAATGGAGCATCTGGTCTTTTATACAAGTTTCCCCACAAGGTTACCGCCCAGGTGGATCATGTGGGGCACAGGACATAAAATCGACAAGCCAATACAAAACAGTGCGATAATGAATAACACTCCCACATACTGTACACAATCCCTCCCCTTTGCCTGTGATACAATTAACAAAGACAATGGACTAACTTAATTAACTTTAGCAGAAAAACATACATTTTTACAAAGTCCAGAAAACACCCCAAAACATAACATATCCCCGGATAGCCCTGATCTGGGTGAACAACATATCCAAAAATCACCCAGATCAGAGCAGGGGTTTAGGAAATTCCTGGAAGTCTCTTTTGACTGACCGCAAGCATGGCCCCATGCGCAAAACAGTTCCATAGAATCAGGGCTATCGGTCGGTCTCTCTGCCTGGAGTACAAAAGTACATAACTCAGATGAACAGAGCCTGTTTAAAGTATTATAGCCAGGTTTATCACACGGACCATAGTCACAGGGTAGGAGACTGGCAAACAGGACCCTCCAAAAACCAGTGGCGAAGTTTCTTTTGTCACAAAAATTATCTCTCAGGTATAGAATATGTACAATTGTTACATCCCAAAATACACACAATGCAAACAGGTCCTCCCTCAAGACCTATATCGCCGGGTATCCTGGATCTGAGTATCCAACATACCCAGAAAGCGCTCAGATCCCATGAACGCAGCCAAAACACCAGAGGGGTAAAGATTTGTCTCTTTTCTGGGGTACAAACTCACACAGAAAAGGAACATAGAAATTAGTCCATATGCTGAGTATGTGCCCCTCATTTGGGAGTAAGCTCCCACCGAACACTGTTCCTTTCAGGTAAATATAACCGAACGTAGGTGGAGATGGAAGTTCAGCGGTGTTCGTGCGGTCGAGTGTCCATGCACGCAACAACCAAAGACTGCTGCTTGTGTTCGCGGCTCAAGATGGCCGCCACCACGTGTTCATACATATGAATGTCGACCACCCAGCCGACAGCCTAGAACACTGCGGTTACTAGTGTTAAATAGGTGTTTATAGGGGTGATGAAGGTTAACAAGCAGCACATGCAGCATACGAGTTGTCTGGTAGTTCGTGGTTTGTTTTTTTTCGGTATTTGAACAAAACAAGAAAAAAAATGTAGGCGATCACGATATACAGAACTAACAGGAGAATGGGAAAGAACTTTAAAAATCAAGTGACAGGGTGGTCTGTCCCTTTATGTATGATATGTGCTATTAGTTTGACACACAAAGCTTTCCCACTGAAGGAGCAAGGCAACTTATAGTAACCCCAAGAGTAGACTCCTCAGTCTTAACTTGCAGGTATTTTTTATCGGTGTAGTCGGAGTCTGATTTTCTATTTATAATACATAAAATGTCATCATGTTCTTCAGCCCACTTCACCTCCTGATTAAGAGGGAGTAAATTTGCTGCAAGAAATCAAAACAGGAAGATGTAAAATAATTCGAACTTTAATTTAAAAAAATTGTAATTTGTAAAATATAACATTCAGCAAATAAACACCGAAAGAAAGGGGACCTATATTTCACAAACAGATCTAAAGCACATAATAATAATAATAATAATAATAATAATAATAATAATAATAATAATCAGGAACAGCTAACGGGAAAAGTACAGGCTAATGCAAAGAATCCCATGGGAAATTCTAGGCCTGAACTGGTCCACCTTCAGGGCCAGAGAATCCAGGGCTGTATTGTGACATCTACTAAACAAGTGAAAGATAAAAATTACAAAAGGGGCTTTTCTTAAAGGACCACTATAGGGCCAGGAACTCAACCACGTGTTCCTGACCCTATAGTGCTAAACCCACCATTTAGGTGGCTTTCCACCCCTCAGCTCCCTTAAAACTTAGTAAAAATCACCTTATTTCCAGTGCCGCGCTCTTCCGGTGCTAGCTCCGCCCCCTTGGTGGCATCATCAAAATTGGAAAAAGAAAGGAAGGTGGAATAAAATCCCACCTAATGGGGGCGCTAAGCACTAGAGAAAATGATAGTCTAATGGAGGACTATAAATGTAAAAGAGTAAATACTCTACGGAGACTTCGAAAAATAGATAGTATAAAAATACAATTTATTTTGCATCACAGTGCAATAAATATATAAAAAAGGGAGTAAATAGTAAAGTGCATAAACATCCAATGTAAATATGGTAACAATATACAGTCCTATTATGAGACCTGGGAACAAAAACCCGGCATCAACCACTAAACAAAACAGTAATAGGTAAAAAGATGAACTGAACTGCCCTTGGTCGCGACTTCCAGGGCTGAAAAATACTTGCAAACTCGATCGGTAGTGGTGATATTGTGGTCTCTGGACTTAAATTGGATGATAGATGAGGCTCAACGTGTTTCGTCCCGCTTTGTTCAGGACTTCCTCAGGAGCTGTGTATATCTTCAGTTCTTCCGGAGTCTTCTTTTATCTTCACATTTTCGCGCTCAATTAAGTCATTGCGCATGCGCAAAAGGACACCGGCTTCCGTCGAGATTGTTGCCGGAACACAACTTCAATGCGCCCGCCTCCAATCACTATCGGGAAATGACCAATGCGCATGCGTAGCCAAATTGATGCGTGTTGAAACTTTATTAGCATCCGAATGGAGAGACACGTTGAAACATATAAGCTACATAAGTAGCAGTTGCATGTGTCAATCTATTCGTAACAATGGATGCTTACAGGCAGAATGATATAACCTAAGCGTGCCACAAACTGAACATATGTATGAAAAAAATAATCAGATATATAAAAAAATCTAATAATTAGCTCTAAAAAATAAAATTTAGCAAAAGACTCAAAAAAATATAATATAACATTTAAAAAATAGGTGGGATTTTATTCCACCTTCCTTTCTTTTTCCATTTATGTTTATTATAGGTTTTTAGAGTGTACCTAGAGGGTGGCAGCTTTTTGCTTTAGAGCTTTATCTGTTCTTTGGTTCTATTTCTTATTTTCTTTGCATCATCAAAATTGCCGATTTTGAGCCAATGGGGAAAACATTGGACTGGCTAAAATCGGCAAGGAGGAGGGGCCAAATGTCGTTTTGGCCAATCAGCACCTCTTCATAGAGATTCTTTCAATCAATGCATCTCATGAGCCAGGAAGCACCTCCAGTGGCCATCTGAGGAGTGGCCACTTGGAGGTGTCCCTAGGGGCAATATAAACACTGCATTTTCTCTTATCATTGAGCTGTAGTTGTTCAGGTGACTATAGTGTCCCTCAGGGCCGCCATCAGGGGGTGACAACCGTGACAGTTGTCACGGGCCCGGCGGCCCTGGGGGGCCCGGACTGCTCTGGCAGTCCTGGGCCCCACTTTCCCTTGCTGCACACATAGATAGCGAATCTCGCTATCTATGTGTGCAGCCGCGGGCCCCCGGCTCCCTGTTACCGCAGAGGGGGCCCAGGCAACACACAGCTTCTCCTCCTCTCTCTCCTCATAACTCTCGCGAGACCCGGTTACCATGGCAACACTCCGCAGGTCTCGCGAGAGTTATTAGAAGAGAGCAGACAGGAGGAGAAGCTGTGTGCTGCCTGGGCCCCCTCTGCGGACGGTAACAGAGAGCCGGGGGGCCCCATGCCACCGGGCCACCACAGATGGAGTCTCCCCCCTCCCTGGATACAGGTAAGCAGGGAAGGGGGAGAAACATTTAATTAAATTAATTAAAAATTAATGTTAAAATGCCCATTCCTCCACCTCCCCCCACCCCCCCCAGATCACACATTTACACAACACACACTGCATACACTAACACACAACACACACTGCATACACTAACACACAACACACACTGCATACACTAACACAACACACACTGCATACACTAACACACAACACACACTGCATACACTAACACAACACACACTGCATACACTAACACACAACACACACACTGCATACACTAACACAAACACACACACTGCATACACTAACACAACACACATACACTAACACACACTGCATACACTAACACAACACACACTGCATACACTAACACACAACACACACTGCATACACTAACACACAACACACACTGCATACACTAACACAACACACACACACACTGCATACACTAACACAACAAACACACACACACATGCTGCATCCACTAACACAACACACACTCTGCATCCGCTACACACTAACCCACTCTCTGCATTCACTACACATTAACACTCTGCATTCACTACACATTAACACACACACTCTGCATCCGCTACACACTAACACACACACTCTGCATCCGCTACACACTAACACAATCTCTGCATTCACTACACTAACACACACTCTGCATCCGCTACACACTAACACACTCTCTGCATTCACTACACATTAACACACTCTCTGCATTCACTACACTAACACACACTCTGCATCCACTACACACTAACACACACTCTGCATCCACTACACACTAACACACACTCTGCATCCACTACACACTAACACACTCTCTGCATTCACTACACATTAACACATTCTGCATTCACTACACTAACACACACTCTGCATTCACTACACATTAACACACACTCTGCATTCACTACACATAACACACACTCTGCATTCACTACAAATTTACACACACTCTGCATTCACTGCACTAACACACACACTACATTCATTACACTGACACACTCTGCATTCACTACACACTAACACACACTCTGCATTCACTAAACTATGCATACACTATGGATTCACTATACTGACACACAATCTGCATTCACTACACTAACATACACTCTGCATTAACTGACACACTCTGCATTCACTACACACTAACACACACTCTGCATTCACTAAACTATGCATACACTATGGATTCACTATACTGACACACAATCTGCATTCACTACACTAACATACACTCTGCATTAACACGCATCCACTACACAAACATCCTGTATTCACAGTACACACACTACATCCACCACACATTGAAACACTCTGCATTCACTATACACAGACACTGCGTCTAATACACGCACTACATCCACTAAACACATTTCATCTAGTACATACAAACACTACATCCACTACACAAACACACACTACATCACTGTACACACACTATATCCACTACTCAAACACACACTCTGCATTCACTGTACAAACAGTATCTAATACACACAAACACTACATCCATTACACATATTCTAATTCACTTCCACTATACACACCACATTCAGTCCTGCATCATTGTCAGCGGACCAGGTAGGGCGTGTGCGGGCCCGGGGGGGGGGCCCAAACCTGGTGCTTTGTCAGGGGCCCCAAAATTTCTGATGGCGGCCCTGGTGTCCCTTTAATTTTGATCTTTCAGCTGTTTAGTAGATAACTCCCTAAATTGGTACCCTTGTGTGGGATTTTCATACTTGATGATAACAAATTAGGGTGATGTTTAACAGATAGTTCCCTTATTTGGTGTGTAAGTATTGCAATCCCACATAAAGATAGCAAATAGGGAGTTATCTGCTAAAGATGTCATGAGCCAATACCAGAACAGATATGCCAGGTGGCTAATGTGAATGATGCCGACATTTGTTGTGTGACTCCAGCATGCTGACACCAATGGCAGAACATTACCCCACTCCCCAGTGTAAATTATTTGTGCCCACCACCCACCCACAGTTTTGAGAATGATGTCTAATGTGCCCCCCCATATATTGTCCATAGAGTTGCCACTGGTTCCTGGACCCCCAAGTTACTATGAGGGGTATTTTCTCTTAGACCATAAGCAGCAATGTGAGGGTGAACAACAGGATATGGGATAGTAGTTTTGACGTAATTACTTAGGAGATGCAGAAGACCTGTTTAAAGGAAACTATGGGGTAAAATGGTACCCTATATTTTACAATTCTTTATTTAAAGGAGCACTCCAGTGCCCACATGGTAAAAAAAAGAAAAATCACAAACTCGTAGATATACCTGGATGGCACAGTGTTAGGATAAGCACAATTCATTGGTTAATAGCTTATCTTACATCGTGCAGAATGATGACCCTGACATTGCTGTACTCTTAATTAATCATACATTAATCCTGCATGAATATATATTATCACACTGCACTCTGTTCTATCTTTAAACATGTTAATGATGTCTATAAAATATCACTTACTTTATTATATCACGATTAAGACTTGTTTAGCTAAACTCAAAGCTCCCTATTATGTGACACTAGTCAAATCCTGTAGCAGATGGCAATATTGGGTACAAGCTAAAGAGGATAATTATTTGGGGTACAATGGCAGGGCGAAGTAGGTTAAGTAGGTTTGACTCAGCATAAATCATATGACGGTGACACATTTTCTAATTCTTTTCTCTGCCACAAGTTAAATAAAGCTGGCTTACATCTTAAGATAGTGGATGGCATGTGCTAAATTATGTCTAACAGGAGGTTCCAATGTACATATCTGCCCCAAATGCCAAGTGACCTAAGTATACCTCTAGCTCCCATGTCTAAATATTCAACATCTACATTGTTGTCCTGATTTCCTGTTTGAATGAATAACACATTAAATGTATCAATTGTAACTTACCCAATTGGCTGTTTATCTGTATTTTCTCAAAGTTATCCATTTTTTTAAACCCTCTGTTATCCACAATGAAAATGGTGTCTGTTAGTTTGTAGGCTTTTCTCACCAGGGTGAGAGCACCTCCATGTGACGTCACTCCAGCCTCAGCCATCATTTCATACTCCCCGTCTAAGACAAACTTACAGGAGTTAATAAAGGAGGACTTTCCATGGCCTGTATACCCAAATAACTGCAGGAGAACCCGGTTGTATCCTCGGCCACCCTGAGCACAGTTGTCAAGGCTAAAGTTACGGATATAATCTCCGAGCTGATGGTAATCCATTCCTAGGTTGTCACAACTGTCTCTCTCACTTTATTCTTATAAATCTCCCTCCCTTTACTGCTCTGATTCTATCGTTCCTCTCGTTCTGTGTCTTTGTTCTCTCTGTATCCTTCTTCTTTCTTTCTACAATCTGCAAATGGTGTCTCTGCTTTCAGTTTTATTTTTACTCAGCACTCAGTTTCATTTTTATTCAGTTAATGTATAACAAAGCACTATTGACTTTGGACCAATTATCAAATATTCAGTTTTATCACAATAAAAGGCATCTTATTTGAGTGTAAACTAGCAATGAACTCTATCCAGTAAATTTATTAAGGTAAGCAATAAAACGCTGTGCCATTTACTAGTGATCGTATCTATTCAGTTATTGACAAGTTAAAAAACTCACATAGAGAAACATATGTAACTTGTGACAGAGGTCCATGCTTTCAGGCCTTGTTCTTTGTGAATTGTCTGGGGCTAGAGGGTTCGTGCAGATAGCCAACAGGTCTGAAGACTCTGTTACTGGGATCCATGAACCAATCCACACAGGATACACAGTTCCAAAATGAACTAGCACACACAGCTTTATTGAAAACAACACATATATTTATACCGCCCACAGCCTCATTTACATACAATAGGGTTACAGTGGTTCACAAAGTTCCCCTCCAGGTCCTCTATCATAACCCCCTCCCAAACAGCACAGTGAGCCCAAGCCAGTCAATAGCAGTATGTACTTCAATAGTAACATATCCCAAGCCAACCAATAGCAGTATGGACTTGGGATAGTAACCAATTACACTGCATATCCCAAGCCAACCAATAGCAGTATGGACTTGGGATAGTAACCAATTACACTGCATATCCCAAACCAACCAATAGCAGTATGGACTTGGGATAGTAACCAATTACACTACATATCCCAAACCAACCAATAGCAGTATGGACCTGGGATAGTAACCAATTACACTACATATCCCAAGCCAACCAATAGCAGTATGGACTTGGGATAGTAACCAATTACACTACATATCCCAAGCCAACCAATAGCAGTATGGACTTGGGATAGTAACCAATTAAGCAGAGTAAGTGATGAGAACCGCACCCAGTCCCAACGGCCAAGGGTGCTCCAGAGCAGGACCAGCAATCCCAGTACAATAATAAAAGAGGAAAAAACTCACAGGCACTCCAACTTCAAGCCGCAGGCAGATTTATTATGACAGAATGCAACGCAACGTTTCGACCGGAAAGGTCTTTTTCAACCAATTACACTACATATCCCAAACCAACCAATAGCATTATGGACTTGGGATAGTAACCAATTACACTACATATCCCAAGTCAGCCAATAGCAGTATGGACTTGGGATAGTAACCAATTACACTACATATCCCAAGCCAACCAATAGCAGTATGGACCTGGGATAGTAACCAATTACACTACATATCCCAAACCAACCAATAGCATTATGGACTTGGGATAGTAACCAATTACACTACATATCCCAAGTCAGCCAATAGCATTATGGACTTGGGATAGTAACCAATTACACTACATATCCCAAGCCAACCAATAGCAGTATGGACTTGGGATAGTAACCAATTACACTACATATCCCAAACCAACCAATAGCATTATGGACTTGGGATAGTAACCAATTGCAATACATATCCCAAGCCAACCAATAGCAGCATGGACATGGGATAGTAACCAATTACACTACATATCCCAAACCAACCAATAGCAGCATGGACTTGGGATAGTAACCAATTACACTACATATCCCAAACCAACCAATAGCAATGTAGACTTGGGATAGTAACCAATTACACTACATACCCCAAGCCAACTAATAGCAGTATGGACTTTGGATAGTAACCAATTACACTGCATATGCCAAGCCAACCAATAGCAGTATGGACTTGGGATAGTAACCAATTACACTGCATATCCCATGCCAACCAATAGCAGTATGGACTTGGGATAGTAACCAATTACACTACATATCCCAAGCCAACCAATAGCAGCATGGACTTGGAATAGTAACCAATTACACTACATATCCCAAACCAACCAATAGCAGTATGGACTTGGGATAGTAACCAATTACACTACATATCCCAAACTAAAAAATAGCAATGTAGACTTAGGATAGTAACCAATTACACTACATATCCCAAACCAAACAATAGCAATGTAGACTTGGGATAGTAACCAATTACACTACATACCCCAAGCCAACCAATAGCAGTATGGACTTGGTATAGTAACCAATTACACTACATATGCCAAGCCAACCAATAGCATTATGGACTTGGGATAGTAACCAATTACACTACATATCCCAAACCAACCAATAGCAATGTAGACTTGGGATAGTAACCAATTACACTACATATCCCAAGCCAACCAATAGCAGTATGGACTTGGGATAGTAACCATTCACACTACATACCCCAAGCCAACCAATAGCAGTATGGACTTGGGATAGTAACCAATTACACTACATACCCCAAGCCAACCAATAGCAGTATGGACTTGGGATAGTAACCAATTACACTACATATCCCAAGCCAACCAATAGCAGCATGGACTTGGGATAGTAACCAATTACACTACATAGCCCAAACCAACCAATAGCAGTATGGACTTGGGATAGTAACCAATTACACTACATATCCCAAACCAACCAATAGCAATGTAGACTTGGGATAGTAACCAATTACACTACATATCCCAAACCAACCAATAGCAGTATGGACTTGGGATAGTAACCAATTACACTGCATATCCCAAGCCAACCAATAGCAGTATTGACTTGGGATAGTAACCAATTACACTACATATGCCAAGCCAACCAATAGCATTATGGACTTGGGATGGTAACCAATTACACTACATATCCCAAGCCAACCAATAGCAGCATGGACTTGGGATAGTAACCAATTACACTACATATTCCAAACCAACCAATAGCAGTATGGACTTGGGATAGTAACCAATTACACTACATATCCCAAACCAACCAATAGCAGTATGGACTTGGGATAGTAACCAATTACAATACATTCCCCAAGCCAACCAATAGCAGTATGGACTTGGGATAGAAACCAATTACACTACATATCCCAAGCCAACCAATAGCAATATGGGCTTGGGATAGTAACCAATTACACTGCATATCCCAAGCCAACCAATAGCAGTAAGGACTTGGGATAGTAACCAATTACACTACATATCCCAAACCAACCAATAGCAGTATGGACTTGGGATAGTAACCAATTACACTACATATCCCAAACTAACCAATAGCAATGTAGACTTAGGATAGTAACCAATTACACTACATATCCCAAACCAACCAATAGCAATGTAGACTTGGGATAGTAACCAATTACACTACATACCCCAAGCCAACCAATAGCAGTATGGACTTGGTATAGTAACCAATTACACTACATATGCCAAGCCAACCAATAGCATTATGGACTTGGGATAGTAACCAATTACACTACATATCCCAAACCAACCAATAGCAATGTAGACTTGGGATAGTAACCAATTACACTACATATCCCAAGCCAACCAATAGCAGTATGGACTTGGGATAGTAACCAATTACACTACATATCCCAAGCCAATAATAGCAGTATGGACTTGGGATGATAATACATTCGTACATACCCCAAACCAACTAATGGCAGTATGGACTTGGGATAAACAATACACCATACCCAACCAACCAATAGCAGTATGGACTTGGGATAATAATTACACTACATATCCCAAACCAACCAATAGCAGTATGGACTTGGGATAGTAACCAATTACACTACATATCTCAAGCCAGCCAATAGCAGTATGGACTTGGGATAGTAACCAATCACACTACATATCCCAAGTCAACCAATAGCAGTATGGACGTGGGCTAGTAACCAATTACACTACATATCCCAAGCCAACCAATAGCAGTATGGACGTGGGCTAGTAACCAATTACACTACATATCCCAAGCCAACCAATAGCAGTTATGGACTTGGGATAGTAACCAATTACACTACATATCCCAAACCAACCAATAGCATTATGGACTTGGGATAGTAACCAATTGCAATACATATCCCAAGCCAACCAATAGCAGCATGGACATGGGATAGTAACCAATTACACTACATATCCCAAACCAACCAATAGCAGCATGGACTTGGGATAGTAACCAATTACACTACATATCCCAAACCAACCAATAGCAATGTAGACTTGGGATAGTAACCAATTACACTACATACCCCAAGCCAACCAATAGCAGTATGGACTTGGGATAGTAACCAATTACACTGCATATCCCAAGCCAACCAAAAGCAGTATGGACTTGAGATAGTAACCAATTACACTACATATCCCAAACCAACCAATAGCATTATGGACTTGGGATAGTAACCAATTACACTACATATCCCAAACCAACCAATAGCAGCATGGACTTGGGATAGTAACCAATTACACTACATATCCCAAACCAACCAATAGCAATGTAGACTTGGGATAGTAACCAATTACACTACATACCCCAAGCCAACCAATAGCAGTATGGACTTGGGATAGTAACCAATTACACTGCATATGCCAAGCCAACCAATAGCAGTATGGACTTGGGATAGTAACCAATTACACTGCATATCCCATGCCAACCAATAGCATTATGGACTTGGGATAGTAACCAATTACACTACATATCCCAAGCCAACCAATAGCAGCATGGACTTGGAATAGTAACCAATTACACTACATATCCCAAACCAACCAATAGCAGTATGGACTTGGGATAGTAACCAATTACACTACATATCCCAAACCAACCAATAGCAATGTAGACTTGGGATAGTAACCAATTACACTACATACCCCAAGCCAACCAATAGCAGTATGGACTTGGTATAGTAACCAATTACACTACATATGCCAAACCAACCAATAGCAATGTAGACTTGGGATAGTAACCAATTACAATACATATCCCAAGCCAACCAATAGCAGTATGGACTTGGGATAGTAACCATTCACAGTACATACCCCAAGCCAACCAATAGCAGTATGGACTTGGGATAGTAACCAATTACACTACATACCCCAAGCCAACCAATAGCAGTATGGACTTGGG